CGAAGGCGAGCGGCCAATCGGAGTGCTGTGAGAGGCAGTGGGCGGGAGGCGCCGCGAGATCGACAGCTCTCGGAGGCAATGGGCTGCGGGCTGCTAGCGCTGGGCGGGTAAATCGAGGCGATCCGGGAAGCCCAGGGCCCAATGAAGCAGGACTTCCAGAAACGCGGGGCGGCTTCAGAACCGGATTGACGGCTCGAAGCGTCAAGTGTACAGGAAGGAGGTACTGGCGACAGGCCTCTTTGAACGGGCTGGGCAGGAGCCGGGTGACATAGTCGGGTACGCCAGCCAATAAGTGCACGCGGAAGGCGGTTCTTGTAGAGATCGGCAGTCAATTTAATCCAATCTCTGACGAACTCTGTGTGAGGCGCTTACGTTTGGCCTGGATTGGTTTCCTTACTAACCGGAATCCTTTTCTAGACCTGTCTTCTAAGCCAATGGCTGAGCGGCAGGGGCGGGTGTAAGGTGACTGACACCGCTTCGGACAAATGGCAATGGAGAAAATAGAGGCGCCCGGTTTTGGTGGGAGCCAGTGGAAGCGCAGCTGCATTGGGGCGGATACGGTCACCAGACAGCGAGAGGGGATTAGCGGGAGCTGTGGTGAATGGCAGCCGACGTGGGCATTGGCGACCGGCTGCCGGAATTCAGGCCTGATGTCTGGGTTAGCGCCCCAGGATCCTGGCTGGGTAGGCCAGGCACGTGGCCTGCTTGAGGCTTTGGAGACGGGTGCTTCCGGGGGCGGGGTGGCTTTAGAGCAAGAGGAAACTCAGGGATTCGCTGTACCCCCTCTCCTCTGTCACCAGGGGATCTAGAACCCCCACTTCTCTTCCAGGACTCATGGAACCAGCTCCCCTCCTGAACTCAAGGGTCTGGGGCCTTTGCTTTCCTCCCAGGACTGAGGGATCCCAGCCTCTAATTCTACATCCCACACCCGCTTCACGTAAGGTCCTTGGATACAACCCCCAATCTCTGATCCTAGGCCCTCAGCTTCCCCCCTGGACCGAGGCATCATGCAGGCTTCCAATTCACATTCAGGACTGAGGTGCCGGCCCAAGGTACCCATCCCCAGCTCCAGGACCCAGGGGTCCCAGATACCCAGCTCGGATTCGAGATTCAAGGATCCCATATACCTAGCTCCTCTCAGACTCAGATATCTGAATCACCCAGCTCCCTCTTAGACCCAGCATATTCCAGGTTCCCAGCTTACCCTGTAGATTTGTTTAGGGGCGAGTCCATTTGGAGGAGTCACATTTGGGGAGTTCCCAGGATAGTGAGGGAAGTGCTCATGAGTTTTGGGATGTCTAAGTGTCAGATTTGGCGAATTTAGGAACCATTTTGACTTTTGGAGGCATTTGAGGACTGGGTCTGATACTGGCCCCCAGCCCCATTCTAGACACAGGATTCCACGTCCCGAACTCACCTCCTGGAACTAAGGATTCAAGGTCCCTAACTTAATCTCCTGGACCCAGGGAGCCAGATAACCAGCTCCTCTCTTGGACCCAGGAATCTAGGTCCCCTTTGCCCTCCTGAACCCAGGTAGACACATCTAGTAGGAAACCATCTCTTTATTCCTGGGTTGTCTCCACATTCACCCTTTTGCCCTGAAACCAGGATAAGTCACAACAGCCAAACTGGAGTCCAAACTAGTCCCAGGCTGCACCCTGGGGAGGAGACTCCAGGAATCTTCTAATCCAGGCCCCCAGCCTGCTTCTCCTGACAAAAGCTGCCCTGGGTCCTGAGCGTGGAGGGCTCCTTGGGGTCAGGGGACACTGGATCCTCCCAGTGTCCATTTCTGCCCAGGGTGTGTCACCTAGCTCACTGCTTATACGCCCAGGGTCTTCTTCATGGCTTCGTACACCACGTAGCTGATGCCACCTGCCGGCAACACCTTCAGTAGCGTGGGGGTCATGCCTCGGTACAGCCCCGGCCAGCCCTGCTGGGCCAGGATCCGCCGGAAGACTCCACGCATGGTGGGGTTCGAGCCCTCCACAGTGTCTGCAAGGATGGGAAAACTCAGAGCCTGGGTCAGAGATGACTTGGCCTCCTGAAGGGGGAGGGGCTGGAATGCTGAGGGGTGGGAAGTGAAGCCAGAGCAGGGGGTCTGGGTGTTAGCTGGAAAGCAGTTTGGAAGATTTTTAGAGGAAATTGGTCAGTTTGGGAGAGTGAGGGGCAGGAATTTTCAGGATTTGTTTTGGGGAACATCTTAGAAATCATTCAAATTTCTAAGATCTGCTAGACTTGGAGAGTGTGCTGAGTAATTTGGAGACATTTTCAAGCTCAAGGTGGTGGGCTGAGGACCTGCTTGGATGTGTGAGGATTTGTTTAGGGGCTGAGAGTCCATTGGGGGGAGTTGCATTTAGGGAGTTGCCAGGATAGTGGGGGAAGTGGTTATGAATTTGGGGGTGTCTAAGTGTCAGATATGACCAATTTAGGAACTATTTTGACTTTCAGAGCCAATTGAAGGCTGGGTCTGATTTGAAGAAGTTGGGAGTCATTTGAGGAATGTCTTGAGGTCAGTATGGGGGGCCTGGATCACATTCAGGGAGGTCTGTGGGAGTCATTTGGGAGATGGCCGTTCCTTTTAGCCATATGTAGGGTTAATTTAAAGACTGGGATCTGGTGTGGGGGGAGTGTAAGTCCTAGTGGGTTCAGGGCTCAGCACATGTGGCCAGGATCAGATGTGGCAAGTTTGGGAGTCAGTTTTGGGAGATGCGAAAGTTCAGAGAGTGGAGGCGGGGCAGGGAGGGGCCCACGAGGTGGCCCCCAGAGCCAGGCTGACCTTGGGCCTGCATCCTGGTGCGCACTAAAGTCAGCGGGTAGCTGGCCATCTGGCCACAGGTTGTGGACAGTGTCACGGATGACAGACTGACTAGGCCGCTAGGGTCCTCCATGTCCCTGCCCGACTTCAGCCAGAAGCACCTGAGCATCTGCAAGGGAAAAAGGCTGGGAGGAAGCTGTCTCCAGGCTGGGGTTCAGGCTACCTGCCACCCCCTCTGCAGGACCCACACCTCGTAGACGGCCAGGTCGGTGCAGGCGTAGGGGATGATGCCCAGCATGTTGGGCAGGTAACCTCGGTAAAGGGCACGGGTGCCCTCCTGCTCCAGGGTCTGCCTGGCACAGTCCAGCAGCCCCTTGTACTGGCCGGTCTGGCGCAGGGTCAGCCGTGTCTTCAGCACCTGGGGAGATGAGGAGTGAGGCGGATTATTTGACTTCATCCTTTCAGTGACCCCCCCCCAACCATGGCCACTGTCCCCACCTACATAGGAGGGACCTGCCCAAGAATTTGCACAGCTGAGTTCAAACCCTGATCCGTCAGATCCCTTGGCCTGTGTGTGCGCTTAGCCCAAGAGGATGAGGGAAGTGTCAGGAGCCAAGTGTGGTCTGTGACAGCTACCAGATCTGCCAATTTCCCGAAAGAAGCCATTTTTATGAAACACTCTAATATCAAAATATTGGCAGTTCAGCAAGGTTGGGGTATAGCTCAATGATAGAACACATGCTTAGCATGCACAGGGTCCTGGGTTCAATCCCTAGTACCTCCATTAAAAAAAAAACCTTAAAAAATACTGGCAGCTCTACAATCTTGTAAAAGACACACCAAGTGTGGTAGGCAAAATTCTAAGATGGTCCCCAAGTTTCCCATCCCCCTGCTGTGCATGCTCTGTATAAGGCCTTCCCTTCCCTTCTACCCTTGAGCTATGAGATGGGCTGTCACTACTCTGGATCAGGTTACATGATATGACAAAGGTGAAAATATTTTGCAGGTAAATTGTCCTGGGTGGGCCTCACCAAATCAGGTGAGCCCTTTCAAAGAGAGTTGATTGACAGAGACAGAAGGCATTGGAAAGATTGGAAGCATCAGAAACACTCTGGAGTTGGTCTTAAACAAGCAAAGTGTTGTGGGGAGGACCCTGTGGCAGAGAGCAGAGCGTGGTCCCCAGGAGCTAAGGACCTCAGTCCTACGACTGTAAGGGACTGAATCACACCAACAGCCAGGGAGTTTGGCAGAGGACCCCCAAGCCTCAGGTGGGTTCGTTAGTAGCCCAGCCGACACCTTGATTTCTACCTGATCAAATGATGAGCAGAGAATCCAGCTAGCCAGTGCCCAAACATGACCCACAGAAGCCATGAGCCATGATAATAAATCTGTATCATTTTAAGCCACTGATAATGAACTCATCTACAAAACAGAAACAGACTCACAGACAGTAAACAGTCTTATGATTACCTGGAGACGGGGGGTGGGAAGGGATAAATTTGGAAGTTTGAGGTTTGCAAATGATAATTACTATATATAAAAATTGATTTAAAAATAAATTTCTTTTTTGAAAAAGCCACTGTGTGGTCTTCTGTTATGTGGCAATTGAAAACCAAAACACTTCAGAAGAAACTCAATTAGACAAGGGCAAGAATTATATAAAGAAAACTTTAAAGGACCATTAAGGGACAAAAAAGGAGACTTTCTTATGTATGAATTGAACACCATCCCAGGAAAAAAACAAATACCAGTAGAGGATCTTGTATTCCGAACGAGGCAGGTTGCTTCTAAAGTTTAAATGGAAAAAACCAATGAGAATAGCCCAGAAATGTGATAAGGAAGAGCAGGGAAGGAAAATAGACATAATATCAAGACTCAGAAATTAAAGACTGAAAGCAAAACTACATAGACGGTATAATGATCAGTGGTGGCCAGGGACCGGGGGAAGGAGGGAGAGGTGACTAGATGGAATACAGCAACTTTTTAAGGCAGTGAAACAATTCTGTGTGATGCTATTGCGGTGGCTACATGTCACATGTTTGTCAAAATCCACAGCATGTACAACACAAAATGTGAACCCTAATATCAACTCTGGGCTTTAGTTCATAACCATGTATCCATATTGGCTCATCATTGGTAACAAATGTACTGCCCAAATGCTTAATAACGGTGGAAACTTTGTACATGTGCAGAGAGGTACAGGGGAACACGCTGTACTTTCTGCTCAAGTTTTCTGTAAGCCTAAAACTGCTCTACAAAATCAAGTCTATTCATTAAAATAAATAAAAGATAGTATTGCATAAAGACACCAAGACAACGAAAAGAAAGGTCAGAAGGAAACCACATGTATACAGGAATTTAGCAAATTACAATGGTGGCACCTCGGGTCATGGAGGGTGGGGAGAAGGAGAAGACCCAGTCAGTAAACAGGGTTGAGGTGCCTGGCTAGCCACCTAGAATGAGTTTGATACACATCTTACATGAAGGAGAGAAGGAGAGGAGGAGAAGGCGGAGGAGGAGGGGGAGGGAAGGAGGCAGCCGCAGCAGGTGCCAACTCATCTTCATTTGTTTCATCTTCTATGGGGCAGAGATTCTCTTACCTCCATGGGGTTGATGAGCGTCTGGGAAGTGGCCACAGCCAGGGAGCCAGCAAGGAGACGTTCCTGAAAGGGTGGGGACCCATGCACTCCACAGAAGTAGTTCTTACACTGCGACAGGAGAGAGGAACATGAGAGAATAGTTAACCTTCTGCCTTCCTGACACTCATCCCGGGGAAGAGGTCTCGGACTTGGAGGGTGAAAGTGCGTCATGGATAAGGATCTGGGCTTTTTTTTGAGTCGGGGGCAGAGGGTACAGGAGGGGTGAGGGCTTGAGGGTGGGGCTGAGGAAAGCAGACCATCCCCCTACCTGTTCGAAAACGGAGAACTTGATGGCGTACTCCGGGGCGATCTTGAGTACGTTCATACCGTTGCCACGCCACAGGGAGCGGAACCCCCCCTCCTGGACCATGCTCCGGAGACCTCCCAGCAGGTTCATGAAATTCGTCTTGGAGGAGTAGACCTGGTGATAGGGAGGCCCCCCGCCTGTGAGGAGCACTCTACCCCGTCTCCATCTTCATCCCAGCTTGGAGCTCAACCCCTCTCCTGTCCCCACCTGCCCCACTCCTACGCTACCCCCTCCCGTCCCCATTCCTTCTTCAACGCCTTCCCTAGCTGGTCCCAGAATTCTCCGGCACAACCCAGACCCAAACCCAACGCCAGCCCACATTCCAATCTCATCCCTCATCTTTACCTCCTCTCCAGTCCTCTTTTGTCTTCAAAGCCACCCAAAGACCGCATCCCCAACACCATCCCTGTTCCTGGTACCATCCTTTTAATGTCTTCAACTCCAACCCCCACCACATCTCCATTCAGACCCTTCTAACTCCATCCCGTGTCCCAGTCCCACTCTCGGACCTGTTTCTGGTTGCACCCTCACCCCCATCCTGAACTCCATCAGCTCCACCTCCGACCATCCCCACCCCCACGGCCCCAGGGCTGGGCTCCCCACGTACCTGCATGTACACCTTGGCCCGGTCCAGAGGGGCCGTGCCGGTGCGAGACACTGCCCCAGCCGTGGCTCCCGAGAGGAGAAATTTCCACAGAGCTCCCTCGTTATCCACTTCCAGGACATCCACGGGGACCATGAGCTGCTCTCCCGTGTCCAGCACCTGCAGGACAGACCCAGCTCCCGCCCGCACTCAGCCAGGCTGAAGCTCCTTCCCAGACACGTCTTTAGAACCCTGTCCTGGTCAAAGGCCGAACCTGGTCCCCACTGCTCCATGGTGGAATTCCAGGTCTGCTTGGAGGGGAGCGGGCCATGCAGAGCGGGCGGGCCTTCTGTCCCTGCAGTCCCGACTAGAGGTGCTGGGAGGCCTGTGGTTCCCAAACTCACCTGCTGTGATGGGAGATGCTCCAGTTCACTTTCACGCACGTGCCCAAACACGTACCCATACACGTGCGTACAGCCTGGGTTCCGGGAGGGGGGTGGGGGTGGGTGTGGGGTGTTGGCTTTGGTGAGTAAGGCCTTGACCCTCTTAAACAGGGTCTGGACCGTTGAGCAAGGTTTCTGAGCTTCCTCAGGTTGGGCTCCCATGGTAGCTGACACCCAGATTCAAATCCCTGGTGAGAGGTTTGCCCATCTAGCAACCTTGTGGGAGGGGCGCCTTGTAAACTTGGGTCCCAGGGGATGATGAGGTCACAGAGGCCCTTGTGACCTCACTGCGTATGCTGGACTGAGCGAGGGTCTCTCCTCACAAAAAGGTCCACATTGTAATCCCTCTCAACCTGTGAATGTGTTATGTTACATGGCAAAGGGCAAGGGGTGGATATATTTGCATAGAATTAAGGTTCCTAACCAGCTGATGGGGAGATGGAAAGATTGTTCTCGATTAACCACAGGGGCTCAGCATCATCTCACGAGTCCTTAAACAGGGAAGAGGGAGGCAGAACAGTCAGCATTCGAAGGACTGGGTGTGAGAAAGACTTCACTAGCCGTTACTGGCTTTGAAGACGGAGGAGGCGGGTGCTGTGAGCCACAGAATGAAAGTGGCCTTTAGAAGCTGGAACCCTGGGGCTTCCAGAAGGAGCCAGCCCTGCCGACACCTTAATTTTAGCCCAGCAAGATCCACATCAGGCTTCTGACCTCCCAGAATAATATGCGTTGTTTTAAACCACCAAGTTTGTGGTTCTTTGTTACAACAGCCATAGGAAATTAACACGCTGCGTTTCATTGTCATGGCAACAAGAGATGGAAGCTGGGGAGAACGAGAAGGCTCTGGGAGCTCTGGGAGAGAGAGACACACAGTGAGTCTCCAGAGTAAGATGGGCATAGGTTGAGAGTCAATGGACCTGGGTTGGAATCCCATCTCGGGCACGTCTTGCTGTGTGACCTTAGAGTAGCTGCTTTGTTTCTCTGAGCTTCAGTTTCCCCATCCGGAAGTTGGAGGCAATGATTAACTCTACCATGGAGTGTTGTCAGTAGGATCCAATGAGAGTTTTCATCGAGGGCACCTCCATCCTCCAAGTTGTTTGATCAAAAGCCTTGATGTCATCCGTGGATCCTCCCTTTCTCCCTTGCCCACAGTCTGCCATCAAATTCTGGGGGCTTAACCTTCAAAGAGTACCCAGAGGCTGGCTGCTGCTTACCATGTGCATGGCCACCACTTTGGTCCAGCCCCGCTGTCATTTACCTGGGCCGGTGCGGTGGCCTCCACCATGCTTCCACAGCTCCTGCCTCCCCACAGCAACCCTCAGAGAGGGTTTGTAAGCACCTGAGTCAGGTCCCACCCCTCCTCTGCCTACAGCCCTTGGGGGCTCCCACCTCCCATGGGTAAAAGCTCAAGTCCTCCCCATGGCCCACAAGGCCCTGTAGCCCCTGCCCCTGTCCCCTCCCAGTCCTCACCTCCTCCCTCTCTCCCCCTCGCTCACACGGGCCTCCTTGTTCTTCCAACACGTCAGGCATGCTGCTGCCCCAGTACCTTTGCACTGATCACTCTGCCTGGGATGCTGTTTCCCTAGACACCCCCATGGCTCACTCCCTCAGCATCTTAAATTTTTTTCAAATATCACCTTCTCTCTGACCTCTCTACTTAAAATTTAAACTATAGTTTTCTCATCCCCCCTCCCTCCTTTATTTTTCTCTGGGACACCTTTGCTTATCTACACTGCTACATATTCACTCACTTGAGTTTCTTCTTCATTTCTCCCCACTGGAATGTAGGGCCTAGGAGAACAGAGATCTTTGTTTCATTCAATTCTGTATCCAATGTCCAGAATGGGGTCTGGGATAAAGTAAGTGTTCAATAAATATATGCTCAATAAAGAAATGGAATAATACATTAGGGGCTTAGCACAGAGTGAGGGTACACAGCACCTACTTAATAAATGTAAGTTCTTTCCCTTCCAAGATTTCAGTGGAGTAACAATAAGAGGTCAGATTCATGGGTACCAGAGGCAGAGGGTGGGGAGAGTGTGAACCAGATGAAGGTGGTCAAAAGGTACAAACTTCCAGTTATAAGATAAATAATACTAAAAAAAAAGATAAGTACTAAGGAGGTAATATGCACATGATAAATAGAATTAACAGAGCTGTATGTTATATATGAAAGTTAAGAGAGTAAATTCTAAGGGTTCTCATCACAAGAAAATTTTTTCTCTTTAACTTTGTATCCAAATGAAATAATGGATGTTTGCTAAACTTACTGTGATCATTTCTTTATGCTGTGTTAATCAAATCAGTATGCTGTGCACCTTAAATTTATACAGTGCTTTATGTCAACTATATCTCAACAAAACTGGAAGAAAACAAATGTGGACAAGGAAATGGATGTTGAATGTCCCAGTTAAATTAAAAAGTGGTAACACCAGATGCTGACATGGCCACAGTAAAACTGGTAGTGCTAATTCCTTGTTGATAGCTGTGTATAATGCACACAATTTTTGTGGCAGCATGACCTGCAGCTAGTCATATGCTTTGACCCAGAAATCCCACTTCTGGGAATTGATCCTAAAAATACAATTTTTAAAAAGTGAAAATACAAAACAGCTAGCAAGGCTTGATCCTTTATCTGAGTGTGTGAAAAACCTTATCTATATATGTGTATGTGTATTGGTTAGCTATTGCTGCATAACAAGTCACCACCTCCCAACCATAGCAGCTTAAAACATGAACAAGATGGTAGCTGCAGTATCTTTATAACCTAATCTTGGAAGTAATATACCATCACTTCTGCCATATTCTCTTGGTCATACAGACCCACCTTGGTACAATGAAAGAGATTACACAGGAATGTGAAAAGCAAGAGGCAAAGATCATTGGGGGACATCTTGGAAGATGACTATCATAGTCAACAAAGAAAAAAGTTTCGTCTTGTGAAGACAGGCAGAAATTGGCATCCAAATGATACCAGAAGATAGGAAGAGGCACTGAAAGATTCTCCCCTAGACTCTTCATTGGGAAAATGGCCTTGCTCACACCTTGATATTGGAGTTCTACCCTCCAGAATTGTTAAGAGAATAAAATTCTGGGTTCTTTTTTAAAATTTATGATAGCCCAAAAGTGGAAACAACCCCAGTGTCCATCAGTGGATGAATGGATAAACACAGTGTGGTCCAACCTTACAGTAGAATATTACTTAGTCTTAAAAAGGAAGGAGATTTTGACATATGCCACGGACACAGATAAACCTTGAGGCCATGATGCTCAGTGAGATAAACCAGACTCAGAAGAACAAATGCTGTGTGAGTCCACTTATACAAGGTTCCTAGAGGAGTCAAATCCATGGAGACAGAAAGTAGGATGGTGGGTACCAGGGACTGGGGGAGGGGGATGGGGAGTCAGTGTTTAATGGAAAAAGTTTTGGAGCTGGATGGTGGGGGATGGTCGTAAGACAATGTGAATGTACTTAATGTCACAGAACTGTATACTTAAAAATTCGTTACAATGGTAACTTTTACATAATGTGTATTTTACCACAATATGAAAATATGACAATCTAAAATGATGGTGTTGCTTTAAGCCCCAGTGGTGGTAACTTGTTACGGCATCCCAGGGATAGGAACACACTTGTATAATTAGGAAAAAGACAGGAAACATTAGGAGGGCTCCTGAACGTGGACTGTTCCCTGCACCCACTTCGCAGATGTGGAAACTGAGGCTCAAAGAGGGAGTCATTTCCTGGTGTCCCAGAGCCATGTGTGATGGCAGCTGGCCCATCCCTTGGGTGGTGTCCCTCCCCTGTGGGTAGTTTGAGATGGTCCCATATCCACCCACCCACTTTCAGTAAAAACCACAATGAAAGAGCTTAGAAAATGTATTCCTTTGTTCTTTTCTTTGAAATAACACACAAGCAGGGAGGTGGGGCATAGTGGAGGTGGGGGAGGTGGAAGCATTGGGGGGTCCTCCCACCCCCCAACATCCCAGTTCCTCTTTCACAGTCCTTTAATGGGGCTCCCCAGGGGCTTGGAAGGAATGGAGAGAGGGGTCCCCCAATTATCTTAAGCTCAGATCCTAACCATAAAGTGCAGAGTGTCCCGGGTTGGGGTACTGGGGGCTCGGGTTATTTGGGATGGATGGGCTGTCTGCTCCTCTCTTGTAGAAAAATAGACCTGGAGTCAGTTTGGGGGATTTGAGGGTTTGGGGTTTGTTTGTTTTGCATCATTGGAGGCTTGGGTTTAGGGAAGCTGCTCCTGGCTTCCAACTCTGAAGCCTGGGGAGGGGCGGGCAGGGCCAGGGTGTGTCGGGGGGAATCCCCTTAATGTGTCCCCAGCCTTAGATTGCCTCCTCGCCAGCCCCTAAAAAAGAGCCACTGGGTCCCCCAGAGGGGCCCAGGCTCTGGGGGTTATGATCAGCCTGTCCAGTGGGAAGGGGCAAGAAGCCCCCACAGAGCGCTGGGGGAGCAGCTTCCCCGCAGGGGGGTGGGGGTCCGACGTCCGTGTAGGGCCTGGGAGGGGCGCCTCCTTCCCCTGCTATCGGCCTCAGTCATGTCAGGACAGTGGGCGAGTCCTGGGGGTCTTCTGGAGCTGAAAGGCCAGGACTCGAGCTTCCGGGAGGCTCCGTAGACTATGGGGTTTGTGCAATGGGGCAGAACCTCTGGGTCCTGGTGTGTGTCTGGGACTGGGGGAAGACCCAGGATGCTGCAATGGGTCTATTGGGAGCTAGACTGGGGGTCTGGGCTTTGGGGATCCAGTGCCTGGAAATGTTGGGGTCTGCATCTTATAGGTGAGGGTTTGGGATCCAGTGCCTGCGGTGAAGGGATTGGGGATCCCATGGCTGCAGCTGCCAGGACCTGCTCACTCTGCCACTGGGCTCTCGCCCCTGTGGTTTCAGGAGCAAGGATCTGGCAGGTCAGGGCTTGGGACTCTGGGATCCAGGGGTTGAGGGCATAATGGTTGAAATATAGGACCTGGTAATTGAAGCAGAGGGATCTGGGACCCAGTGTCGAGGTAAAGGATTTCAGGAATCCAGGGAGGGGGGAGGGATCTGGGATCCAGTGGCTGGGGTCCCGGGATCTCAGCATTGCACTGTCAGGATCCTGTGGCTGAGGTTTCTTGAGATCCAGAATCCAGTGGCTGAGCTTGGAGATCCATGGCTTGGAGCAGGGGGATCTAGGATCCGTCAGTGGGCTTGAGGATCTAGGATCCGGCATGGCCTGAGGACACTGGATCTGGTGCCTGAGGCAGCTGGGGTCAGGGTGTTTAGCCATGGGATATGTGCTGCTGTAGCTGGAGTGTCAGGAGCCAGTAGCTGGGGTGTGGGGGGGTCCAGCGGTTAAGACAGGGAGGTCCAGGACTCAGTATGTGGGGGGCTGGCAGGGAACGTGGGATCCAGTAGCTGCGACTTGGGGCAGAAGGACCCAGTGGATGGAGTGTGGGGATCCTGTAGTTTGAATACGGGGTCAGGGAACCTGGGATCTGCTGGCTGGGCCATCCGTCTCCAGTGGCTGAGGTGTGGGAGACATCAAGATTGAGGTGAGGGATCAGGGGTTGGGGAGGCTCTGGGTCCCTCACCTGGACGTGACCCCCAGGGCCTGCTTCATATTTTCGTAGACCACATAGGAGATGCTCACAGCCGGGATAACCTTCATGAAGTTGGGGGCAATGCCCCGGTAGAGGCCCCGCACGCCCTCCTGGGACAGGATGTGACGGAGCAGACCCAGCATGGAGAGCTGGGGGGCTCCCTCGATGGAGGCTGAGGGGGTGGGGAGGCCAGGTAAGGCCAAAGGTCCCCCTCTCACTTCCCCCTCCTGCCCCCCCAGGTGACCATTGCAGCAGGAGGGAGGAGGATTAGACTAACAGTGGGACCTACCACTCAGAGTCAGGACTTCTACTGGCCTTGGAATTGGCTGCTCACCTTTCACCCCAATCTGGAGGACCCAAGTTTAGGGATGATTAGAAATAGAGCAGGTATGTGTGGAGGGGAGCGGGGTGGGAGAGGGCACAGAAATTTCCTCTTCCTGGAACTCAATTCCTTCCCTCTTCTCCTAGCTAACTTTTACTCATCCTTCCAACCTCCATTCCAAACCAGCTCTTCAGGAGACCCCTCCTTGGCACCCCTTATCTAAGTCCAGCTTTTCCTTCCTCTCTTTGTTCAACTCTAAACCCATACTTAATTGTGGAGTGATTTGTTCAGCATCTTCCTCTCCAGCCTGTGAGCTCTTTGAGGGTGGGGGACTGATAACCCCCAGCAAGAGAGTCACAAAACATAAATCCTAAAATCTCCAAGGAAATTTTCAAAAAAGATTCAGGTATGGTAGAGGGGGGGAAAAGAACCTTCAAAGAGCAATACAGAGAGAAACAATAAAACAATAACCAGCCTGGCCCTGTTCCTCCTAAGCCTGTTCCTTGCCTTCCCTTCACCATAACCCAGCCTTGCAAATTAGAGCTCAACTTATCAGCCCAGAAAGCGGCCTCCCGGCTGAGATCGATAGCACACTCTTTCAGCACTGGCTGTGTCTGTTCTCCTACTTAGGGGAAAGGGTTCCCATTTCAATGTCACAAACAGGTAAACTGAGGCCCGGAGAAAAGTAAGGACTTTAGTCAAGGGCATCCAAAGGCAGGAGGAGCCCCGCCCGGGGCTCTGCCTTCTCAGGAGGCGGAACTGGGGATGGGGAGGTGGACCCTAGTCGTGGGACCTTCCCTGCCTCCTCCTCCCACCCAGGCCTCACCTTGGGCCTGCATGCGGGTCCGGACCAGGGCCAGGGGGTAACTGGCTATCTGGCCACACGTGCTGGAGATGGTGCCGCAGGCCAGGAGCACGAGGATGCCAGGGTCGGCCGAGTCGTGGCTGTACTGCTGCAGCCACTGGTTCTTCAAGGTCTGGTGGGGGTGGAGAAGGGAGGAGGGTGGGTTGGAGGTGGGTGACACCAGGACCCAGGCTTCAGAGGCCCTGCTGGCTGGCTTCCGTATCCCGTGATGACCGGTGTCAGCCAAGCCCTTTACCTGCATCCTTGCGCTGAGTCCGCACCTCTAGCCTCCCTGGTATGTGGGAGCGTGGCCTCCCTCCTGTTCCTGCCCTAATCCCTGGAACCTCAGAATCTGGTACCTTACATGATGAAAAGGACTTGGCAGATGGGATTAAGTTTAAGAATCTTGAGAAGGGAGGTGATGTTAGAGTGTCGGGAGGGTCCAATGTCATCGAAAGCTTCCTTGTAAGGGTCAGAGAAGATGTGACTGTGATGACAGAGACAGAGATCGGAGAGAGAGAGGGAGATGCCATGCTGCTGGTCTTGAAGATGGAGAAGGGGCCATTAGCCAAGAAACGTGGGCATCACTATAAACTAGAGAAGGTAAGGGAACAGACAGATTCTCCCCTAGAGCCTCCAGAAGGAATGCAGAGTAAGACTCATTCTGGACTTGTGACCTCATAACTGTGACATAATGTTTGTGCTATTTTAAACCACAGCGTGTGGTCATTTGTTATAGCGGCCGCTGGGCACTCATACAGTCTCTAAGGCAGCCACCCCACACTTCTCCCTTACCATTTCAGCTCAAACCTGCTGACTTCCAACTGCCAGCACCCATGGCTCTGCCTGAGGATTTTCTCTGGTCCCAGGCAAGGGTGCTCTGAGCACACTGGAACAGGTGGGAAGTGCTGGGGAGTTAGCACCCTCCAGAAGCAACCTTTAAACAATGACTAACTAGGTGTGTCAATACCCGGGCTCCCTTGCCTCTCCGATGGGGTCATATTCTATGCTTTACCCCCAGGATTAAGCACCTGTCCACTGTACTATCTTGCTTGATAATGCACTGTTTGGGTTCAACTGCATTACCTACCCACCCCCAAAATATATATGTTGGACTCCTAACCCCCAGGACCTCAGAACACCACCTTATCTGGAAAGGGTCTTTGCAGACATGAGTTAGGATGAGGTCATCCTGGAGGAGGGTGGGCCCTTAACCCAGTATGACCAGTGTCCTTATAAGAAGAGACTAGAAACAAGGACACGTAAGGGAAAAGTCACATGGCAACAGAGGCAGGTAGGAGTGATGCGCCTACCAGCCAAGGACACCAGTGATTGCTAGCAAACACCAGAAGCCAGGAGAAGGCAAAGAAGGATTCTCCTCTACAGGTTTCAGAGGGAGCACGGCCCTGCTGACATCTTGATTTTGAACTTCTGGCTTCCAGATATGACAACAGATTTCTATCGTTTTAAGGCACCCAGTCCGTGGTGCTTTGTTACGGCAGCCCTAGAGAATTGATGCATCCTACTTGTCGGTGCCTTACCTTCCCTGCCTTATGACCACCCCCAAAACCCACCTGCCCTGCCACCCCTGCTTCTGGAAGACCTTGAACTAAGACAAGTGCTATTAGTATCCCCCTTTTATTGACGAGAAACTAGTCCAAGGGAAGCGACTTGCCCAAAGCCACAAAATTAAGGTGAAAATCAACATTCAAAGCCACACCCAGCTTCAGAGCTGTGCCCTTGGCCAGTCCCTCCGGAAGTCTTCTGCCAGGCCTCTGTAAATCCAGGATCTTCTTTTTGGCCTTGGGACTGTAGGTTTCATTTCCTATATCAATTCTAATGCATTGGTAATGGCTGCCTGGAACTGGGTTGAGAGTGTCTCAGTGCTGTGATGGATTGGTGATGTCTGGCCTGGGCACGGAATGGGCAAACAAGAAGCAAGTGTTGCCCATTACTGCCTTCACAATTTTAAGAGCCTTCTTTGCGGGCTGGAGTAGCATATGCCAAATAGATGCTTAATGAGATTTTAAGAGTAGTTCTATTAAAAAGAGATTCTGAGGGCTAAATAAGAACAGATAACATTGGGCTAAAAAAAAAGTAAATCACTTTTTTTTCTGCAGGACTTCTCAGAGCCTTTAAGGGACTAAGATAGATCTTAAAATTCCAAGAGGGTATAGAGCTCCTCAAACTTCTTAGACCCCTGAACTCCCTTTTGGGTGAAGAATGAATGAAATAAGTTTGCATCTTATTTCTGCTCCTGGCTCTCAATGGCTTCCTGTTATACTTCAAATAAACCCAAACTAATGATCATTGAGTCCCTGCTGACTCTTCAGTTCCCTCCAGCCACTCAAGACTTCCACTTCTCCAACAGGCCAGATGTGGCCTGCTTTTGGACCTCGGCATTGGCTGCGCCCTCTGCCTGGTTCATACTCCCTCCCCCTGTATGTTCAGCTCATCACTCCACCACACCTCTCAGAGGCATTCCTAGACACTTCCCTCCTGCCCACTGCTACTTTTGAACACACATCCTGTTTATTATCTTCTGAGAACTTTTCAGGATCTGAAACTACTCATTTGCTGGTTGACTGACTTCCTTGTTCCTTGGAGTGCTGTTCCAGGAGGGCAAGAATCGTGTTGTGCTCTTTGAATGCAGTGGCCAGCACAGCGCCCAGCGCATACAGGAGCTTAGGGCATAGTTTTCTAAGTGAACGAGGGAACAAATGAATGAATCAATGAACAAGTGAATGAATGAAGCCTTGTCTCATTTGTCTCCGTAGATACTGGGTGCTGGGAGAGCAGGTATGGAGGATCTGAGGTCAGGACCAGCTATGTAATTTGTGGGGCCGGGTGCGGAATAAACACATGTGAGGTTCCCTGTTCAAAGAGTATTAAGAATTTCAAGATGGTGACAGCAGAACATTAAACCAACTACACGTGAGTGCAAGATGGTATAGGTCGCCCGCCCAGGAAGCTGGGTTGGATACAAAGATTCAGTGGGAGGGGGGGCCTGTGGACTTCTGGGGCTGTGCTAATTGGAAGAAGCTGGTGTTTCTACCAGGAGGAGGTAAAAGTGATGGATGAGGCACCCTGGAGATAAAGAGGAAAAACTCCCTACTCCTGCTTCTCCTGGCAAAGTCTCCAAGGTGCTGGTCATGGGGTGTGGTTTTTACGGTCACGGCAGATACTACGGGCCTTGGAGAAGACATCAGCCTGGAGATAGAGGCGGGTCTGACCCACGCTTTGGGGGAGATGGGCATCTTTGAAGCTCAGCTTTGCTTGCTGCCATGATTCTGTGAGCTAGAGTGGTCCCCGACTTTCCCAGGTCCTGAGACACGGCAAGGTCAAACTACAATCAGAAGGTTCTCACGGTGGTAAGTGGATGAGTGGGGGAGTCCTATGCCTGAAAGGGTTTCCCAGGATCCCAAGACCCCTGGTGTGTCTCCACCGCTATCTATGGAGGTCAACTCTGAGTCAGCCCCATAGGAAGTGGGTGTCCCATGGGCAGACCCCAGCGGGGAGGAGGAATGGGGGCGGGACAGGCTGCCACACACCTCGTAGACGGCCAGGTCAATGCCCGCGTAGGGGATGATGCCCAGCACGTTGGGCAGGTAGCCACGGTAGAAGGCCCGGGGCCCTTCTTGTTCCAGGATCTGCCACGCACAGTCCAGCAGCCCCTTGTACTGGCCCGTCCGGCGAAGGGTCAGCCGCGTCTTCAGCACCTGGGGAGAACCCAGTTATCCCTGGAAAAGCTGCCTTCTGAATCACCACATCTAGGAACAAAGACACCTAGAGCTAGCTACCCCTGGATGGAGGTACCCCGAGAATAACTGAATTAAAGAAGCCACTTGCTCTAGAATTTTCTGTTTCCCCAAACTCTATACCCACAGATGGCTACACCTGTCAGAGTTGCATGCGACATCCACCACTAACTGTCTCCCAGTATCTTGTTACCTTGTCCCTTTGCAACAGAACTGGTAATTTTCGGCAAGCACAAGGCCACTAGAAATAGGCTACATTTCTCAGTTTCCCTAGGTGTGTGGTCATGTGAGAAGTCCAAGCCGATGAAACAGAAGGCGAAGAAGTGTGCAAGACTTTGAGAAAGCATCCTTAAAGGCAGGGAGGTGTTCCTTCTTTTGCTGTTCTTCCTTCTTGACTGGAAGGTGGATGCCATGCCTGGAGCATAAGCAACCATTTTGGTCCATGAGGTGGATGCTACATGCTGAGGTGGTCTAACAAGGTAGAGGAAAGGAACCTGGGTCTCTATCAACTCTAACAGTCAGAAGCCACCATACCACCCCTGAACTGCTCACCTCCAGACTTCATTATGTGATTTGAGTTTTCCATCACTCAGAATCCTAACCGATGCCTGGCACAAGCTGAAACTTGAAATGGTTTCTCTGAAAGCAGTTTCACCTAGAAATGATTCCTCTGGGGACAAGCATCTTGGAAACCAGTATCCTTAGAAGAGGCACATCCGTAAATGGCTGGTGTTCACAACTGCTAACTAAACAGTTATAACTGACACCACTGTCCCCAAAAGTCACATCTTAAATGTGGTACCCAGACCGGCTGCACATGAAACAGCATTGCTCTAATGAGCTACAGTATGAATCAGGAAGAGGGAAGTTATAACCCCAAAGCTTATCACATCTTGGAAGGAAGCAGTTACTGCAGACCCCCAGCCTGCCATGGGGCCTCAGCCAGGGCCCCTCCTTCTCACCTCCATGGGGTAAATGATGGTTTGGGCTGTGGCACCAGCCAGGGAGCCAGCCACAAAGCGCTCCTGCACGTGCAGCGTCTCCTGCTGCCCCCGGATGGCCCGCTTGATCTGAGAGGGAGACACAGAGGTGGGCAGGACCTCAATGATTGGGCCCTCCACGTACTTGGACTGCGTCTCTACTGTCCTCCTGCGCTGGGCATCCAGCAGGGGAGTGAAGCCCCCTCCTGCAGACCTGCAGACACCCCTACACCCCCAAGCCAGTCCTGCCCATCCTCACGGCCAGCCCTCGCCTCCCCACCACGCCTGCCTTACCTGCTCATAGGCCATGAACTTGATAGCTGACTCAGGTGCAATCTTGAGCACGTTAATGCCATTGCCACGCCATAGGGAGCGCACGCCCCCCTCTCGGATCATGCTCCGTAGGCCCCCCAGGATGTTCAGTCGGTTGGTCTTGGAGGCATGGACCTGATCAGGGAGATGAGGTAGCTTTGGGGTTCCCTCCAGGAGGCCCAGGCCTAGGGGAGGGGGTGGGTCTCTCCAGGGCCCCTCACCTGCATGAAGACCTTGAGGCGGTCCAGAGGGGCTGTGCCCGTCCGGGACACGGCACCCGCCACTGCGCCCGCCACCAGCTGCTTCCACCACATGCCAGTCAGCTTCTCCTGCTCCGAGAACTCATCAGGGACTGTCAGGCACTCGCCAATGTCCAGGACCTGGGGATGCAGAGGCCAGGGGCGTCATGCCCCAGTAGGGGTGGGGAGATGTGACTCTGCCCTAAATGGGGGCATCTCCCCTGTGAATCCCAGGCCACCCAGAGAGCCTACAATGAATATCACTTGGCGATCCCAAGAGATCTCTCTTGGATCCCTACCAGATGCAGCCCCCAGTCTCCACAAATGATTACAGCATCCTTCCTAGAGTACCTCCACCAAATTTCATCAAAGGATCCTATTCAAGCATCTGCCCCATAAAGATCCCTCCAGAGCCGATCAGATCCCTCTGAAGGATCCCCTTCAAAGGTCTCCCACATATGGATTCCAGATCCCTCCTGGCCCACACAAGATCTTACCGGGGACTTCACATATAAGGAGCCCAGCAGATGCCTCCTGGGGTCTCACCAGATCCCCAGGGATGTCCCCTTAGAGATCATCCCCTCTCTAGAGTCCACCTACAGACTTCCCAGCCAAGCCTCTTATGCGTCCCTCAAGGGTAGGAGTCTCTGGATCTCCAAGAGGATCTCACCAGATCCCATGGATGGGTCCCCTCCAGATGCCATCAGATCCTGCCAGAAGCACTGCTCAGGGATTCCCACCCAGGAAATGACAATCCAGAGCCCCTCCTCACCCTTACTTCCAGTGGATCCCATTGGACCCTTTGAAGAGAGTGGCTTCCTCACTAGTCTTTTCAGCAGCAGAATCCTTTATCAAGGGGGACAGAAACCAGCAGAAGGGCTGAGAGTGGGAGGCCAGATACCCCATCTGGTGAGCTCTTTCTTCCCTGCGCCCCCGGAGGCCCAGCAGCAATCTGAAGGGCTGCCGTCAGCCAGGAGAGACCTCCCCAAGCAGGTCCCCCAAGCCCCAGATGGGGGACGCAGGGAGCAGAACCTCATCCCCTGGCTGCTCCCAGTGGCTCCTCCTTCTTGAGAGTCCTGACCCAGCCTTCCCACCCCCATGCCCGGGGGAGATGAGGGCCAGGCCTCTGGGGGCAGGGGAAGAGGGTCTGGCCACCAGGCTGAGATGGCCGCCCCCATCTCACCGTGGAATGCTTCCAGAAATAGAGCACATCTTCCACGTTCTCCAGCGAATGCAACAGGAAGTGGTCGCGCCATTCCTGCCAGTCAATGGTCATGGTGCCGTCACGGTCCATGCTGGGGCAGTGGAGGGGGATGGGAGGGGACAGAATCAGTGCCTGGGGCCGGGGGTGAGTTAGAATGAGGTTCTGGTTGGTTTGGGGGTGGGTAGACCGAGCTCCTTGGCACATGGAACACTCCATTTTACAGAAGGGGAAACTGAGGCTCAGAAAGCGGAAGCAACTGGCCCAAGATCTCAGCTCCACCTGCCCTGGGATTGGGTCTGGAGCTCTGAGGTTCTAAGTGGCTGAGGAGTCCTGGGGAGCTGAATTACCTGGGATTCTAGACCCCTAGCTACTCACCTGTGCAGGATTTTCTCTGCTTGCTCCAGCGAGATGGAAATGCCCAGAGCTCGGAAACTCTGCTGGATCTCAGAGACATCAATGTGACCTGGGGAGGGGGCCCGAGGTGGGGAAGGGAGTGTGTGAGGGCTCTTGAGATCAAGCAGCAGAACAGCTTGGAATGGGAGTGGTCTAACAAGACCGGGGGTCTGGGAACCCAAGGTGAGGTTTGTGGCATGGTTGGCAGTGGGTGGGTGGGGGTCCCTGACCCACTGCGATCATAGAGGTTGAACTGGGCAATATTGGGGGGATCATTTGTTTGATGAATGAACAAAGGATTGAACTCAGGGGTACTTAAGGGGGTCTCTATGCCACAGGGGGTTGAGAGGCAATATTGGGCACCCAGAAGAAGCGATGGGGGTATCTCTGTCTTACAGGGAATCTAAGAGCAATATGGGGCGATCTCTGTCTCACAGAAAAATAAGAGTAATAAATAACAGAGGTCCCACTGGAGAAGGAAAAGGAGGTGGGATAGGCCAGCTGGGCCCTGAACCACCTAGCTGGGGGTGAGGAGAGCTCCCGAAATAGCCTATGCGTCATCAGGGAGAAGCTGCCCTCCCCCCTCCTCCTAGCGCTGCCAGTCCTAACCCCATTGGTGTCTCCAGGGCCCCCCACAGCCCCATCCCTGGGCCTTACCATCCTGATTCCGGTCCAGACTGTGGAACAGAAGCAGCAGGCGCTGTTCCCGCTCCTGCAGGTAGAGGATAAACTCCTCCAGGTCAAGGCCACCATCTGGGTCAGCATCACCCTCGAGAGAGATGCCCTGGCAGGGGGGGAAGGGTCAGAGGGAGCTCCAGAGAGCTGCTCCGCCAATCTGGAGGGCACACATATGACACGCTTATGACCCAGGAACCCAGGCCTCCCTGTCCCCCGCCCTCGCACCTAGAGGACTGGGGTGGGAAAGTCACCCCCTTCCTTGATCAGTTCGCTCCTCAAGATGCCCAAGGCCACGGGAGGTCTATGAGGTGGACACTGGTCGTCCAGTTTTCCTGGCGAGCAAAGTGAGGCTCTCCAAGGTCAAGAAACTTGTTCAAGATTACAGAGCTGGGAAGTGGGTGGGTGGACTTGGGTTCTTGTCTCTGAAAACCTATCCTTCCAGCTTGTCTCTTACAAGAACCCGTCCACATGGCAGTTTGAGGAGCTCTCGCTGGAGACAGCTCTGGGAATGTGGGGCAATGACACATCCACAATGAGCAGCCTCGAGGCCTCTGTTTTCCCATCTGTAAAGTGGGAGGTCGACTGCAGGTCTCAGGGTGCTTTGGAGAGGCATCTGAGGCTCCAGGTGTGGGGGGACACTTGCATGGGTTCAGGGCCAAGGTCCTGCTTTGATAGGTGCATCCCCAGCTGAGGGTGGCCTCAGGCAGGATTAAGTTCACGGCTGGGACAGCCTGGGGCATTGAGCCAGGCCTGGGAAAGGACAGGGAAGGGAATGTAAACACAGAGGGTGGGGCAGCTGGCTGGGAGGGCAGGGGGTGCCCAGAGCAGGAAGAAGGGTGAGGAAGGTGTGTCTCCTGGAGGTGGGTGCAGGCCCTGTCTCGGGTTGTGCAGAGTTCAGAGGAGGGTGTGTCCTGGGCAGCAGGCAGGAAAGCACACGAGGCTCTACTCCCTGGCGGACACCCCCTACCTCAGGGAGGTGAGTGGGTTTGGCAGCCGAACTGCATGCCTGGGGCCTCGGTGGCTCTGCCTTGAGCGAGCCCGTTAGGCCCAGGTTCGGGCGGGCAGGGCAAGGGGGAAGGGGACAGGGATGCCCGAGGTGGGCACAGGTCCTGGAGTCCAGCCACAGGCAGTCCCGGGCGTCTCCCGACGCTCCATTCAGGCGCTCGGGCAACCCGGGCGCGAGCTGGGCCCCCGCTCTGTGCTCCAGGAGGAGGTCCCTGCGGGGGGTACCTGTTGGGCGCCGCGGTCCGGGTCGCCAGCGCCTACCGGGCCAGTCCCTGGCGCAACTCGTGGACGTCCACGCGACCATCCTTGTTACTGTCCAGCTCCTCGAAGAGGCGACCCCAGCG